TTGGTTTAGGAGACCGACGCCTTATCCATTAGGCCACAGGGCCTGTGATGTATGAAACAACTTCATATTTCAATCGCATAGTGTCAGTCACTCTGTCAAAGATTTTGGTAAAAAACTCAACACAGCAGGGAATTGAGCCCCAAATCTTCGGCTCGGGCTAACGCACTCTCCACTAGACCACGGTACCAGCTGGATTGATATCCAGCTGGTACCGTGGTCTAATGGATAGTGGTCTGGTCTGGCAAAATCTGCGACCCAGCAAGGACTCGAACCTTGAATCTTCGGTTTAGGAGACCGACGCCTTATCCATTAGGCCACAGGGCCTGTGATGTATGAAACAGCTTCATACTTCGAGAATAGTATTATTCAAGGATTTGAATGAAAAAACCCCAACACAATAGGGTATTGAGCCCTAAATCTTTGGCTCGGGCAAGTAACGCACTATCCACTAGACCACGGTACCAGCTGGATTGATATTCGAACGTTTCTGGTCTGGCAAAATCTGCGACCCAGCAAGGACTCGAACCTTGAATCTTCGGTTTAGGAGACCGACGCCTTATCCATTAGGCCACAGGGCCTCTGATGTACGAAACAGCTTCATACTTCGAGAATAGTATTATTCAAGGATTTGAATGAAAAACCCCACACATTAAGGAAATGAGTGCCCTAAATCTTTGGCTCGGGCAAGTAACGCACTATCCACTAGACCACGGTACCTGCTGGATTGATATATTCGAACGTTTCTGGTCTGGCAAAATCTGCGACCCAGCAAGGACTCGAACCTCGAATCTTTGGTTTAGGAGACCGACGCCTTATCCATTAGGCCACAGGGCCTGTGATGTATGAAACAGCTTCATGCTTCGAGAATAGTGTTATTCAAGGATTTGAATGAAAAAGAAACCCCAGCACAATAGGGAATTGAGCCCTAAATCTTTGGCTCTGGCAAGTAACGCACTATCTACTAGACCACGGTACCAGCTGGATTGATATTCGAACGTTTCTGGTCTGGCAAAATCTGCGACCCAGCAAGGACTCGAACCTCGAATCTTTGGTTTAGGAGACCGACGCCTTATCCATTAGGCCACAGGGCCTGTGATGTATGAAACAGCTTCATGCTTCGAGAATAGTGTTATTCAAGGATTTGAATGAAAAAGAAACCCCAGCACAATAGGGAATTGAGCCCTAAATCTTTGGCTCTGGCAAGTAACGCATTATCTTACATTACTAGACCATGGCACCAGTGATATTCGAACGTTTCTGGTCTGGCAAAATCTGCGACCCAGCAAGGACTCGAACCTTGAATCTTCGGTTTAGGAGACCGACGCCTTATCCATTAGGCCACAGGGCCTCTGATGTACGAAACAGCTTCATACTTCGAGAATAGTATTATTCAAGGATTTGAATGAAAAACCCCACACATTAAGGAAATGAGAGCCCTAAATCTTTGGCTCGGGCAAGTAACGCACTATCCACTAGACCACGGTACCAGCTGGATTGATATATTCGAACGTTTCTGGTCTGGCAAAATCTGCGACCCAGCAAGGACTCGAACCTTGAATCTTCGGTTTAGGAGACCGACGCCTTATCCATTAGGCCACAGGGCCTGTGATGTATGAAACAGCTTCATGCTTCGAGAATAGTGTTATTCAAGGATTTGAATGAAAAAGAAACCCCAACACAATAGGGAATTGAGCCCTAAATCTTTGGCTCTGGCAAGTAACGCACTATCCACTAGACCACAGTACCAGCTGGATTGATATTCGAACGTTTCTGGTCTGGCAAAATCTGCGACCCAGCAAGGACTCGAACCTCGAATCTTTGGTTTAGGAGACCGACGCCTTATCCATTAGGCCACAGGGCCTGTGATGTATGAAACAACTTCATATTTCAATCGCATAGTGTCAGTCACTCTGTCAAAGATTTTGGTAAAAAACTCAACACAGCAGGGAATTGAGCCCCAAATCTTCGGCTCGGGCTAACGCACTCTCCACTAGACCACGGTACCAGCTGGATTGATATCCAGCTGGTACCGTGGTCTAATGGATAGTGGTCTGGTCTGGCAAAATCTGCGACCCAGCAAGGACTCGAACCTTGAATCTTCGGTTTAGGAGACCGACGCCTTATCCATTAGGCCACAGGGCCTGTGATGTATGAAACAGCTTCATACTTCGAGAATAGTATTATTCAAGGATTTGAATGAAAAAACCCCAACACAATAGGGTATTGAGCCCTAAATCTTTGGCTCGGGCAAGTAACGCACTATCCACTAGACCACGGTACCAGCTGGATTGATATTCGAACGTTTCTGGTCTGGCAAAATCTGCGACCCAGCAAGGACTCGAACCTTGAATCTTCGGTTTAGGAGACCGACGCCTTATCCATTAGGCCACAGGGCCTCTGATGTACGAAACAGCTTCATACTTCGAGAATAGTATTATTCAAGGATTTGAATGAAAAACCCCACACATTAAGGAAATGAGAGCCCTAAATCTTTGGCTCGGGCAAGTAACGCACTATCCACTAGACCACGGTACCAGCTGGATTGATATTCGAACGTTTCTGGTCTGGCAAAATCTGCGACCCAGCAAGGACTCGAACCTTGAATCTTCGGTTTAGGAGACCGACGCCTTATCCATTAGGCCACAGGGCCTGTGATGTATGAAACAACTTCATGCTTCGAGAATAGTGTTATTCAAGGATTTGAATGAAAAAGAAACCCCAACACAGCAGGGAATTGAGCCCCAAATCTTCGGCTCGGGCTAACGCACTATCCACTAGACCACGGTACGAGCTGGTCTTATATTCGTTTCTGGTCTGGCAAAATCTGCGACCCAGCAAGGACTCGAACCTTGAATCTTCGTTTTAGGAGACCGACGCCTTATCCATTAGGCCACAGGGCCTCTGATGTACGAAACAGCTTCATACTTCGAGAATAGTATTATTCAAGGATTTGAATGAAAAACCCCACACATTAAGGAAATGAGTGCCCTAAATCTTTGGCTCGGGCAAGTAACGCACTATCCACTAGACCACGGTACCAGCTGGATTGATATTCGAACGTTTCTGGTCTGGCAAAATCTGCGACCCAGCAAGGACTCGAACCTTGAATCTTCGGTTTAGGAGACCGACGCCTTATCCATTAGGCCACAGGGCCTGTGATGTATGAAACAGCTTCATGCTTCGAGAATAGTGTTATTCAAGGATTTGAATGAAAAAGAAACCCCAACACAATAGGGAATTGAGCCCTAAATCTTTGGCTCTGGCAAGTAACGCATTATCTTACATTACTAGACCATGGCACCAGCTGGATTGATATTCGAACGTTTCTGGTCTGGCAAAATCTGCGACCCAGCAAGGACTCGAACCTTGAATCTTCGGTTTAGGAGACCGACGCCTTATCCATTAGGCCACAGGGCCTCTGATGTACGAAACAGCTTCATACTTCGAGAATAGTATTATTCAAGGATTTGAATGAAAAACCCCACACATTAAGGAAATGAGAGCCCTAAATCTTTGGCTCGGGCAAGTAACGCACTATCCACTAGACCACGGTACCAGCTGGATTGATATCCAGCTGGTACCGTGGTCTAGTGGACAATGGTCTGGTCTGGCAAAATCTGCGACCTATATTCGATATTGATATTCGAACGTTTCTGGTCTGGCAAAATCTGCGACCCAGCAAGGACTCGATCCTTGAATCTTCGGTTTAGGAGACCGACGCCTTATCCATTAGGCCACAGGGCCTGTGATGTATGAAACAACTTCATGCTTCGAGAATAGTGTTATTCAAGGATTTGAATGAAAAAGAAACCCCAACACAGCAGGGAATTGAGCCCCAAATCTTCGGCTCGGGCTAACGCACTATCCACTAGACCACGGTACGAGCTGGTCTTATATTCGTTTCTGGTCTGGCAAAATCTGCGACCCAGCAAGGACTCGAACCTTGAATCTTCGGTTTAGGAGACCGACGCCTTATCCATTAGGCCACAGGGCCTGTGATGTATGAAACAGCTTCATACTTCGAGAATAGTATTATTCAAGGATTTGAATGAAAAAACCCCCACACATTAGGGAAATGAGCCCTAAATCTTTGGCTCGGGCAAGTAACGCACTATCCACTAGACCACGGTACCAGCTGGATTGATATTCGAACGTTTCTGGTCTGGCAAAATCTGTGACCCAGCAAGGACTCGAACCTTGAATCTTCGGTTTAAGAGACCGACAGACCATTACGCCACAGGGCATGTAATGCATGAAACAACTTCATGTTTTGATGGCATAGATAAGTCGCTCTGCTAAAGATTTTGATACAAAAATGGGAAGCACTGCAGGGAGGTGAGCCCCAAATCTTCATCTCAGGAAATAAAGGTTTTACACGCTAAGCGACAGCACAAAGGTACCATAGTCACATTAGCTGGTTGTGCCGAGCGATAGCAGCAGTTATTCGGTGAAGCAAAATTCTTGACGGCTCAGCAATGACTGGAACTTTAAAGCTTTCGACCATTGACCACGTCTTACCTGTTGATGCTACATGTATTTTGAGATTGTACTAATAATAGAACACAAGAACTAGCAATGGAGAAACGATGATGATAGATGATGGTAGATGCTTTGGGTGAATGCTTATTTGCAGAGTAGTACGAAATTATTAGCAAGGAGACATTTTCGTACTTTCCAGAAAATGTAGAGATTTTGAAAAAATCCGTGCTACCTTTTAGGTAGCGTTTCTGTTACAAAGGATTTTGCCGATGTTTTTGCTTGTCGATTGCCTCTATCACTCTGTTGTGCAATGGCACAAATGTTATGAGTTCATGATAGCTCCAACTGGGAAAGAATCATTTGAGTGTAGTAATAAAAATGTGTGCGTTGCTTCGGGAGTCGAACACCGAAGTTCTCCCAAACCGCTAGAGGTTCCATCCTTACTTTGAACATATAAAGCCATTTAAATTGAAATTGTCAACGATACCGTCCATCATTTAAGTACTTCTTTAGAAACCCACCTCTGACGGCTTTACTGTCTCGTCCTTTTCAGAGTGTACAACTTTCTTTTCTGGCGTTTTTCTGGAAAAAAACCTTCATGGCGGATGTTGATTTGATTGTGAAAAGTTAGTTAAATATCATTAGAAAAACCGGGAAGCATTCCAGAGAGGTTCTCGTAAATTGTGGTTTACGCCACGCCTCTTCATTCACCCTCCCCCCCTCCACCCCAGACAGAATTTCTCTGATGCTGCCAAATATGTGTCATCATTGCTCTACTTGGTTTACCCGGCTCCGCTCCTTCATAATACGCCGCGTACGCCACTGCAGCGCAATGGAAATGTGCTCACGGCAGCAAAGCCAGGGCCCGGCGGGGGTGGCGCTTTCACAAGCTGGATATCGTTTTTGGCCCGAAAAAGCAAAGGGGAAGTCGTATTTTCTTCCCCTTTGTTTATCGATAAACAATGCACATATCATTCTTTATTCATCATTCCTTGTTGATGCCACTGCTCTATGAACTTAAATTCCAGCAATGTGAAGATTCTGTGCTCCGATCGCTAGCCTGCCCGCAGACGGAAATTCAAATCGCAATCCTTGTAAGAGGAAAATAACAAAATAGGCTCGTTTTCAATGCACAAGTAACGATATGGCACCAAATTTGCTGTGTAGTTGGAGGACCATGAGCACAAAAAAAGTATGAAGAGTTATGAGAAACTTATGTGAATCTAAAAAATGGTAAGTGTTTTTCGAAATTAGGTGGCTCCCGCGCCACCTGGGAGCCACCTGGGGCGGCTCCCTGCTTCCCTTCACATAATTTCCCGGATTTCTTTACATAAATGTGGACTAGGTCGAGAGTATTACTATATGTTCAAATCCGCTTCCAAAACCACCAAGGCACCGCTTCGATACAGCCCCAAATAGGGTTCACAGCGTTATGATCGGCCTCGGAAAGCGCGTTCCATTCGCAATCGGTTATTGTATATTGTAAAGTTTCGCAGCTGACTAATAAATGAGTAGTATCTTAGATATATAAATCAAAGTTTGTGCAAATTTTGACCCTATGTTTTTTATAGATTCCTTTGCGGATGAACCCATTGAGCTGAAGCCTTGATGACCCGGGCTGGACCAGGAAGGCCAGGTAGTACTACTATAATAAGCGCTGAGGCCGCCCATCTTAGTATTTGTGTATATCTGTTTGTCAGGGACTTACAGGGGTCAAAAATAGGGTTAAAGGGAAAGTCGTAGGAAATTTCGGCTTCAAAGGGGATATCGTTCTCAAAATTCTGAAATGCCACCTCCTGCCGGGCCCTGAGCAGAGCTCCACTTTTTTTGATGTATCTCTATATTTGCTGCACATTCGTGTCCCTCAATAGTGTTCCTTCACATTATGCATTTCTTCTTCTCTTTTGCTTTGTTTATCCTGTCTGACCTTTGTCTATATCAATGATGGAATGACTTATAGGGCTTACCAGCCACCATCGGTCGTGGGTACCCAGGGGATGAGGCAGCGCGCGCGCTATGCGAGCGAAGAAGATTGCACTGGGGCGCGAAAGGTAGCTTTGTTCTTAGAGTCATCATTCATCAACCCGTGTTTACCTTCTGTTTTCTTGTTAGGCATCAGATTCCGTGCTTGTATCGACTACTGACCATTTCAGGTGGTGGCGCTGTTCGGCTGAAGAGTGTTCAAGCAGGGATGGTGAAGCGTATCTTTTGCTTATGCGCAGCACAAAATTATCATCCATTCTGAGTTGAGGAGACTCGAGCACGCTTTGCACAAGTATGAGGAGAAAATGTTGTTGTTTTTACCCCACTTGGTTGATTTACTACTAGAGATTGAAGGACGAACATGTTCAAGTTTGTTGAACACATGTGCAACGTTCTCAGGTCTTCTAATCTCAAAGTTGATATAATCAAAGTGTCAAATTTGAGTCACAGTCACACAAAGCTGCATTACTTATCAACGATTTGGAAGAAAAAGTTCCAGGGTGCTCATGATGCTTATATCGCGTGAAATATGGAAAAGGAGACATTCCAACGTGCAATCAAGTACGAAATGAAGTTCGACAGATTCGCGAGAGAAGTTTTTCCACAAATAAGCAAGAAATTTTGGAAAACAGCGATAATTTAACCCTAGCCACAGATCTACCAGCAAACTTTCGCGCTCGGGTACTAATTTCGCTGCCTGCGTCTCGCCTTTGCAGCCACTATCCCGCGGGTATCCACGACCGATGGTGGTTGGTATACCCTATAGGTTGTTCTGCTCCCTCTACTTTTGAGTTTCACATTTTGTATCGTAACTGATTGCACATTGCGTTATCTGGTTGTATGGTTGTATGTTGTATGGTTGTGTAATTGCGCTGTTAACATCTCCTTACAAACACATCACTGGATAAAAAAGATTTCTCTTTTTCATACTGTATACTTCATACTCTTTGATTGCCAGTATCGTCATTTTACTCGTGAGAGTATGTAAAAAAGGAGAGTAACGGAGAGAAAATGTCTACGACCTGCATTCACTCCGCATTCACAATGTTAACGTATCTGGGGTCAAAACTGTACAGAAATAAATGACGAAATGACGCTCTTAATAATAAGCAATTATAGAGATACATAAAAAAAAAGTGGAGCTCTGCTACCGTGAGCACATTTCCATTGCGCTGCAGAGGCTACGCGGCCTAGTATGAAGGAACTCCAAGAAGAGTCCCACTGCTAATGACAGCTAAGTTGAGATATAAGAGCCAGCCAGAATTTCGTGTGTTCCATTATCGCTTTCAGTAATTGTGCTTTCAGCAACTATTATACTACAGAGAATAAAAAGCCCAATATGACTCTACTCTCCTTAGAAGTGCTAGATTGAAGCTATTGAACACTGCAGGATATTTTTTGTGATCTTTCAACGAATATATTTTACTTCATAAATATTTGCCCCATCTCCCGCGACGTAAGAAACTTAGCATGCTACCATAACCCAATATTCGCTATGAAACCAGAAAATGAAGGAATGCTGTATCTTCTTCTAAAGAAAATAAATTTGGGCAAACTTCTATGGCTTGAACCTTGTAGTTTTGCAAGAATCGAGAGCCCGAAACATCTTCTTTGATCTGTGTAACTGATGCCAAAAGCACAACCACTGAAAGCGACAAATGGGGTAAACGAGATATTGGCTAGCTCATACTAGAGTTTGGATGTTATCAAAAGGATGTCTCATAGGCGGAAAAGAAACAGTGCAAAAAAGTAGCTAATTCATCTCTAGAGCAAAGTTGACCACGTTCTTAAATGACCGTTCCACTAAAGTGGCACAGTATTCGGAAAATTTCAGTATTTACCAGAACTTGGTCCACAGCGGTTGTTTGTCATCTACCTACGAAACTGATACTCATTGGGTTGGTGGGCTTCTACAATACCGCTCACATTTTTTGAAAAATAGACGCGAGTGTATGGACATGTATGGACATGCACGGACATGTCGCTACATGTATGGACATGTAGCGACATGTCCATACATATCCATACATGTCAATACATGGTGGACATCACGGTCGCGTGGCCATATCTCGCTTCAGAGTGGACGAATTCTGAATCCAAAGCCACCGTTCGATTCAGCTCGGCGCGGAGAATCTTCTGATTTATTGGAAGTGGGGGTACGATGTCTTCGATATTCCGTTTCCAGTTTTTTCGATTTGTTCTGCAGAGGTCCTTTCGCGAATATGTGAAGCAACGCCTACCCAACATAGAAGACTTAACTAAGTACTATTCGATAATACTGTTCCCGTAGATTATTGTGCGTTAAAAAATAGGCTCAGACTTCTTTCCAAAGGAGATAGAAGCGTTGGTGAATTTTGGAAAAATCACGTGTTTTCAATTTCTACTCGCCATAACTTCCTTCGGAATCAGTATATTTTGAATCCGAAAACAGCGCCTTGCTCAGCTCATCAAGGCGAATCTTCCTATATACAGCATGTCCTTGATATTTCGATTTCAGCGTTCTTGAATCTTTCTGAGGACGTCTTTTCGCGAAGGTGTAAAGCAGCGAGCATTGTCCCGAGTACATTCCAGCAAGGATCTTTCGATAGCACTTTTTCTGTAGATTATGACGTGCTAAATAGTAGCCGCAGGTTTCCTTTCAAAGGAAATAGAACGGCTAGTGAATGGTGGAAAAATCTTGTCGTCCCAATCTACTCGCCATATCCGCAGGATACGAAGCTATCTTGCTAAGCAGATATGATTTCGGAATCAGCAGGTTGCATAACCTCTACGAGCAAGTTTTCCGATATGTTCGGGTTATTCCATTTCCATCGAGTGATCCTTGCTGGAATGTATTCTAGAAAATGCTCGCTGCTTTACACCTTCGCGAAAAGACGTCTTCAGAAAGATTCAAGAATACTGAAACCGAAATATAAAGGACTAGCTGGCTTACCCGGCTCCGCCGTATGTTCCGAATAGAAAATTCCATTTCTTAACCGATCCGGACCAAACTTGGCACACATACACTTCGGGCCCCGGCGGGTGTCACAGCCCACTTTTCGTTATCGATCGATGTCGATTTTATCAATTTTTTGCGAAACTTGGGCTAGGGGGCTGGGATTTGGCACAGGGGGATAATCGAGCGTGCTGATTACGAATACGATATTAGTTTTCGAAACCGTGCATTACTTTTATCGATTTTATCGATTTTTTGCAAAGTTTGGGCTACGGGGCTGGAATTTGGCACAGGGGTGTAATCGAGCATGCTGATCACCCCCGTGGGGGTGATCAGCATGCTCGATTACACCCCTCTGCCAAATTTCAGCCCCCTAGCTCAAATGTTGCAAAAAATCGATAAAATCGATAAAAGTAATGCACGGTTTTAAAAACTAATATTGTATTCGGAATCCCCATGCTCACTTACCCCCCTGTGCCAACTCCCAGCCCCGTAGCTCAAATTTTGTAAAAAATCGATAAAATCGATATCGATCGATACGAAAAGTAGCCTATGACACCCGCTGGGGCCCGAAGTGTATGTGTGCCAAGTTTGGTCCCGATCGGTTCAGAAATGGAATTTTCTATTCGGAACATACGTACAGACAGACAGACAGACAGACAGACAGACAGACATACATACAAACAGACATTCAGCTTTATATATAAGATATGCTGTAAATAAGAAGATTCGCCTTGATGAGCTGAGTAAGGTGCTGTTTTCGGATTCAAAATATACTGATTCCGTAGGAAGTTATGGCGAGTAGAATTTGAAAACACGTGATTTTTCCAAAATTCACCAACGCTTCTATCTCCTTTGGAAAGAAGTCTGAGCCTATTTTTAACGCACAATAATCTACAGGAACAGTATTATCGAATAGTACTTAGTTAAGTCTTCTATGTTGGGTAGGCGTTGCTTCACATATTCGCGAAAGGACCTCTGCAGAACAAATCGAAAAAACTGGAAACGGAATATCGAAGACATCGTACCCCCACATCCAATATATCAGAAGATTCTCCGCGCCGAGCCTAATCGAATGGTTTTGGATGCAGAATTCGTCCACTCTGAAGCGAGATATGGCCGGTGATGTTCATACACGACGGTGATGTTCATACATGTATTGACATGTATGGACATGTATGAACATGTCGCTGCATGCCCATACATGCAACGACATGTCCGTACATGTCCATACATGTCCATACATCGTCTATTTTTCAAAAAATGTGAGCGGTATTGTATGTCGTACTCACTCCATGTATACGATGATAAATAGATATCTCAGTGTGCTTGTAGTGGGTTGGAAAGAAAAGAATGTCGCATCATGTGCTATCGTATGATATAAAGGCAAAGTGAACACCAAAAAAAATGTATTGGATATTATTTGGTAGAGCAAAGTAAGCTAAGCAAAAAAATATCGATGCATGTGACTCAAAGCCAAAGTTTAAAGGGCTCAAAATGCCCGAAGAATAGAAAAAATCATTCCCTTCTGAATTTTTATGCTCAATTTGGTACTTCTAGTGAACTAACTCTTGTAGAAGATGAAAATTGGTGTTGATGCTTGCAAAGGTTAATAGTATGGACTGTGGGAATTGCCCAGCTTGGGGAAAATCTGAAAATCTTTGGTCTTCCTTTCCTAGTCGCGGAAAAAATACAGCAACTCTGCATATGTCTGAATTCCCCTTAGCGAGTTGAGGGTCGTAGGATTCTTTTGGTAAAAGATACGATTTTCCTCGACTTTGCTGGCACTTTGAACCTTTTACCACTTTATTTTGATATACATATAATGCACTAACATCCCTGCGGCGAGGGGAGCGGCATCCCCCATTATGAAGGGGTCGCGTGCGGACGCCGCTATGACTTTTACATCATTGGGGACGTCGCTCCCCTCGCCGCAGGGATGTTAGTGCATTCGGGCCATAGATCGAACTTGGCACGATTGTTTGAGATTCGTTTTGTAGAGCTTGCTTTGCTCTATCAAAAGATACCTATGCAGTACTTTTAGTGTTCACTCTGTTTCAATGTCGCATTATAGCACAAATGCGACATTCTTTCCATCATAATACTTTTTGTTATGGCTTTAACTGACATTGTTAACTATTATCATGTTAACGCTGACTTCGGTGTTGCCTCGTCTGCGTCTGACCCTCAGTACCCTCCCTCCCCCCCCCCTATCCAGGGCAACGTGCCACACCCCATGCCTGACACTGCGTATCACTTCTGTCAAACAATATTTAGCATGAGAAACAAAAGAGAAAAGGCGATAGCTTCAATTAGGTTGATGCATAATTCCTGCACCAAAATAGATACCGACCGCAATAATCTGAAATAATCCTATATCCCAAATAGGAATCGGTATATCATTAGATACAGCAAACTTAGCTCTACAAGCTCGTTCTCAAATATCTGCACCAGCTTCAATTCACGCGAAGTTTTGAGCCGAAAACTGAGAAAAACCATGCGTCCGAAAATCTTAAGACCAATCAAAACAAAATTGTAACTCCGTCCAAAAAGCTCCTACAAAATTTCTTTCTTGCTCACGCATAGGCATTCCACGTACGACATTTATCTATGCGGTTGCTGTATTTTTTTCTCAACTAAACGATGAGAAAACGAAGTTTTTATGTTTTTGCCAAATTAGTGCTGAGATGTTCTAGTACTACCAGTTGTATAGTACATGCCGTTAGCAGTAAAACTTTACATTTTCAGCCTTCTAGAACTCCTAGTTCGCGAGAAACGACGAATTTAGCTCTCCTTATCCGAATTTTTCTTGCCTAGTTGCTAAAAATTCGATATTTCTCCTAAACCAGCCAATCTAAAGAGCTGAAAATTTACACTCACGCTTCTAAGGTCCTATAGTATACAACTGTTAGTGTTGGACATCTCAGCATTAATTTGGCAAAAAAATGAAAACTTCGTTTTCTCAATTTTTAGATGAGAGAAAAATACAGCAACTGCATAGAGAAATGTCTTATAGGAAATGACAATGCATGAGCAAGTTAGGAATTTTGGAGGATTTTTCTGAATGGACTTCCAGTTTTTTCTTGATTTTTGGGTCGCTTGGATCTTTTTGGTTTTTGGCTTCAATCTTCGCTTAGATCAAAGCTGCTGCAAATCTTTAAGCACTATCTTGTAGAGCTAGGTTTGCTCTATCTAATGATATATCGATTCCTATTTGGGATATAGCATTATTGCGGATTATTGCGGTCTGTACCTATTTTGGTGCAGGAATTATGCATCAACCTAATAGAAAGCTTATAGAGAATAGAGCAGCTTATAGAAAAGACGACGTAGCTTTCCAATCCTAATTTTTTTAGCTTCGCTTTCAAAACAAGTACAACGAGTGTATAAGGTAATGTTTGTAAGTGTCTATTACACGCATAAGCAGTAAGTGCGCTGATTTTTCAGGGCGAAAATCCGAATTTGCGTGATTTAAAATTCATAGACTTCGGAAATGCTCAAAATGTGGTTCACGTGGATAAATATCATGTAAGTGCAATTCCTCGTCGAAAACACACTCACCAACAAAAGGATTTGCTGGAGTCGTTTTCAATCAAGCAATAAGTACCAATGTACTAGGTCATTCCAAACGTTTACTCGTTTATCAGTCACCAAAACTCGTAGAACGTTTACCGACAAACTACTTAAGCTTTACCATTTGATTCAGCTTGCTCCTTACATTGACACCTACATTTTGTCTCTAATAACATGCTCTGGCAACTAACACGAGTAGTGAAACATATGCCAAATTTGACTCGCTTTGAACTACTTACGTCCTTTTCTTGAGTTTTAACAGTTATTTACCAGAAAATCCCAGCTTTTTACATATGACACGCGAGCGCACCGAAAATTTCGATGACTTGGCTATTTCAAGAGTTGAAGTGGAACATCGGGCATAAGGGTCATTCAATCTCAATTAAATTTTGGATTGTCAAACTCCGAAAGTTTCGATTGTGTTGCGCTCATGTTTTCCTTGATTACACATTCGATCTGTTGAGAAACGATCTTATGGAACTTCTAAGGAATATGGAGTATCCAGAGAAAGGACGTTTAGCCTCTTGACTTCTGTTAAGTAAACTTTCCCGAAAGTGGAATTTTTCCTAGAAAACAGCAAAGTTCTGAGCAAATAAAACAAGTGAGTTTCGGCAGTTATTTGCGGCATTTGAAGAAATTTAGGGCTCAAATATTTTCAACATAAACAAAAAAAAGGCGCGTCAAATGCATGTTCAAGATCTTCTCGGTCATCATTATATGACCATAATAAAAAACAGGATGAAGTTCGGGGGCAAGATATGCTAATTAGATTTCACAAAGATCAAATTTTGCAGCCTCACAATTCTATTAGGTCGTTTCGAAAGTAATGTCGCTCTTTTCAAATGAACGCCACATTTCATGGAATCAAGATTTTCAAGAGGTCTTAGGAGCATTCGATGCAGCATTTCATCCTCTTTCTAAAGGTTGTAATTTCATTGCATAATTTTCATTGAGCTTTCGAAAAATTAACAAAATCTGCAACTCATGCTTTTTGCCATGGTCAAGTTCGGCAATTTTTTAAAACTTTTGTGCCTATTCTCGGAAGAAGTACAAGTGGCAGGTAGATAGAGCAAATCCCATAGGACACAGAATAATTTTTTCTTTTCCTTAGCTTGCTTCTTAGAGTTTCTGGAATCAGTTTTAAAATGCCATCAAATTCCATATTTGGTCAACTCAAACCTCATAGAACAACAACCGGCAAGCAACTCGGGTGTCATTCGACGCAGCTTTTTCTCCTCTTTTTAACAGTTGTTTTTGGTTTCCGATTCATCAAGTTTTCCGAGATAAAATCATCATAATTCAGGTTTTCCAGGACGCCTCCGGCTGTACCCGGAATTTTCGAAAGTTGCTAATCTGAAGCGATAAACACTCATTTGCTTTGTAAAATTAGTGTAAAACCATAATCCATTTTTGTAAGCTTCAAAATCCGACGATGTTGATGCATTTGTGTCTGAGACGAACCTGCTAAAATTCGGTGGTTCCATCAAAAAATCTATACAGAAATTATGACGAGCTCTGAAAAGTAGAAAAAAGTTGTGCTGTTTTCCGTAGGGTTTGCTCTATCCTTTCATAACTTGGACTCCTTCTGGGGGTTGTTATAAAAATTTGGAAAAATTGTGAAACTTGACCTTCTCAAAAAGCATGGGTCGCAGATTCCGACAATTTTCCCAGAGGTTATTCAATTTTGTGCGGTAATTATATAACCATTAAAAAGAGAATGAAATGCTGCATCAAATGCTATCAGAATCTCTTACACACCTTTGTTCCGCGAGATGTGGCGTGCGTTTGCAAAAAGCGACATTACTTTCGGAACGACCTAATATTATGTATTTCTTAAAAATATTTGCTGCGAAACAATTCTCGCTTTAGAATAGAAAGGCAAGCAGAAATTACCTTTTCGTGCCACGAGCTCTTGTCTTCTGCTTTGTTTTCTGGAAGTACTAGCCAAAGGATCATTTTGCAAAGGCTAAGCATCAAAAACGCACTCTCTGTAAAGACTTCATTCGTGAGAATTGTGGATTTGCGGACTCTTGCGCAAGCTTGTCGGACAGTTCAGACATAGTAGACACCACGAAAGAAATTTTGATCAAATGAGACGTAACTTATTTTAACGTCCTTTTGAACGTCCTTTTGACTAACTCTTTATAACCATTTTTAGCCCGAATGATTGCGAGCGGTCAACAGCAATAGTTGGTTCGAATAAAAAATGTCATATTCAGCTATAAGGTTGTCACAATTTGTTATAAAAACTTGATCTGACACTCCTCTATAATCAGCCTTCGTGGACCTTTTGGCAACTATTTTAGAGCTCAAATTTATTCTACGAAAAGAGTCATAATCGCTTTCCATTAGTGTAGAATTACTGTAGGAACTACCACGATGTTGTCATCACCGGTCTTTTTCAAGAAGTATAGCCTTCGTAAACTTTTGTGTGGGGATTTTCAGACTGGCTAATTCTATTATAGTAGATAGTTTTGTGCATATTTGTAGAAAAGTTTGAATGCCAAATCAGATTTTTCATATTGATAGTTTGACCGTCACGTGATTCAGATTATGATGAAGCAAATCACATAATAAAATCAGCGATGCTAATCAGTCTTGTGACAGAGTTTCCCATTCATCATCTTTTTGGCCAAGTTTTGGCTCAATGCCTTTCTTGTTTTTATCGTAAGCAACAATTCTGAACAGAGATGAAGCGATTATGTGGTGTGAATTTAACATAAGGTTGAAATAAGCTCTACATATGCTATCCAAGAACTTGCGAAAGCTTACAGGAGAGTTAATAGAGATCAAACATCCGTTATATTTTTGAAATGCCTTGAGTATCATGCCTATATAGTAACGGGCTAAGGGTTGTTTACGTCTGTTTGTCTGTCTGAATATCTGTCTGTCACAAAATTCACAAAACGAGTTGCAGCCAAGCCTTTGAGCTAGAATTTTGATCATAGCACCCTATCTGCGTGTAGGTAAGCAAAAGCATGAGCCGATCCACTGAGTGGATCCACGCGTTGGCCCGCCGTAGTGGGTCGGTAGTAAGATTTTTCGCAAAGTCGTGGATTTGTTCAACAAGTAAATCCAAATGCCATTGATCTCAGCCCAAAAAGTAAGCAAAAAGTCCATTTTTACGCAAAATTGGCGCCAGAAAAGAAGTATTTGCTAATATGGTAGATTTGACAATGTTCTATCCAAGAATTTGCAAAAATTTCTGCGCAGACATGTAATCCAAAACTAGCATTGTCCTAGTGACGAATATCAAACCAAACATCAGTAACCGATTCAAACTCGCATTTGATCTTTGGAGGACACTTGCATCATCCCAAAGCCACCGATCTTACATGAAAAAGTTTTTGGTACGAGTGGTTGTGAATGGTTGTTTACAGTTCGTCCTTATCGGCATTGCGCAGTAAGTCTCAGAGGCATAATTTTGCGAGTACGAAGAAAGCATGTAGATAGATAGTAGAATCAGTGCGAGCCTCGAAGCAGAGGTGACGCACTGGTAGTCTAGATAAGGCTTGCAGTAACAACTAGATATACTGTGATAGTGTCGAAATGGATTCTATATAACCAAACCAGGGTCAAGCAAGGGGTGTGGCACACGATCGCTGTTTACGACCCCCCCCCCCTAATTGCTGTCTTAGAAAGACCCCCTCCCCCCCCCCCCCCTGAACTATATACCTGAGGTAGCATTACCAGAGTTGAGGAAGAGGTCAGGCACAAGTCTTTCGAAACTTCCCCCCCCCCTCCCATGAAAGCCCTCAAACGATTCCTTCTTCCTCCTCTTAAAATCTGGACCTCAAAGTATAACATTCTGGAGGATACCATCTTTTTCTAGAGAGTTTTCAGATTTCTGGGAGCTGTATGCCCGCTTTTCTGTGACTGCACTTTACAATCACACGTAATTTGACGGCTGATTTTGATCTGAGTGGGCATATTGAAAGGGCCATAATTTTCTTATGGGTGGGGCGCTCGGCTCAAAATTTCCAATATAGCAAGAAGAAGCTATGTGCTCAATACTCATACCAGCAATGGAGCGCTTTCTGGATTTTGAAGGCAAGTTAAGGGGGCGCGGCACACCCCTTTAAAAGCTGCGGCAGCCGCAGCTTTTAAGGGGATGTGCCGCACCCCATTAACTATATCAAAAAAACATTTTTAGCGGACAGTATTTATATAAGTCGATAGCTAAACCTTGTAGATTCCACAGGACTGTTTGGAGCCTGATATGTCTTCTCAGCTCTAAGTAATATTTGGTGAAAGCACAGTGATCAAAAGCGAAAAATGGGAAAAATGAGATTTTGGTTGGCTTCTAATTCCACAGTTTGCAGGTCTTCTGAAGCGGGATTCCTGAGGTGGACAAAGAAGGAGTAGTGCTTTGTCTTGAGTGCAAAAACGGATAGCTAATTCACCTTTGAAACAAAGTTAACCATTTTGGAATTTGACCATTTCATTTAGGTAGCCTAGTATCTTCTGAACTCGCTCAAACTTTGTCTACAGGGGTTAATTGACATGCTAATTATGGATATGATACGAATATCATGTTACCATTATTATCAGATTACCCAACTACGACCCCCTCCCCTTTTGACTCTTCAATACGACCCCCAGGTGTGGCGTGCCGCACCCCACGCTTGACCCTGAACCAAACTAAGAAAGGTAAACGGTATTTAAAACAACGAGTACTTGCTACTAGTGTCAAAGATAAATTCCAATACTTCTTATGGTTAATCATCCAAACAACGTGTTCCACTTGTATGTGTTCAACCGTCTATGCAATTTCCTGAAGGTATTTTCCAGGAAATAGCCCATTAATTCTGAAAGAGAATACAGCATACAAATATCGAAAAGAAGTAATGTACGTGAGTTGTGACATTATGCTACAGAATCTGCCTATTGTTATAGGTCAGCACTATGAGCAGCTTAGTCTCATTGTCTAGACAGAATTTTTTTGATGGCCTTCTACGGACAAAGGATTGCGTCTCCTTGTGTCTCTTGGCTTAGCTCAGTTCGCCTTACATTCAGTAGAAAATAGCTTGTTCCGATATCGTGGCGTAATCTTCTTGCCGTTGACGTTTCTACTTCATGTAAAAACAAAAATCATTTAGATGCATTTTTTCTACACACATTTTCCTTGGCAGATTGATAAAGAAGATTACAACTGTAGTTTTCGGTCAGAATCTGAATGGAGGAAGCTTGGTTCAGTCAACTCTTTGCAAGGGTGGTATTTCGCAGTGATGGGCTCAAGCTTCTCGGTATTGAACAAAATATAAAGTGTTAGCTGTACACTCAAACTCAAATAATCCCCTCGAAATGTTTTATTCATACAGATCCTCTACGCGATGTGCTTATATGGGATGTATCGAGCATCGTTGTTGAAGATTCCTTGCTACAAGCTTATGTTTTTCAACGGTGTCCTAGACATCGTTGACCTATTCCTGATTTCGAGCGCCATGGCATATTTTCATTTTGTGAGTTGCATTCTTTGTACAAATCATGGTAGGCATATCTTGTATTAATTCAGACGGGAGCAGTTTTCTGTTCTTCACCGGTGCTGGATTGGATTGCAGGGCATTTTGCTTACAGTAAGTTTGTCTGGTTCAAAGGCATGTCATACTAATTCTAGCCCTATTAGCACGCCTTCTAAAAAGATCAGGTTGACGCACGCTTTTTGAGATTTGAAGTTGAACTAAGTAGCTTTCTACTGAATATCCTTACTGAATGCAATTAGAACGATTTCATTATACATGAACTTCGGCTATACTATTCTTTACATTTTCTATTTGTACTACTGTATAGAAAGAACTTCTACCATGAAATCGATTGGCCTAGAGATTTTGTCAATAACACTCACTTTTTTCATTGTTATAGAGGGAGCAAAAAACTGCTTTTCATCAGAGTTTTCCATCTCCCGAAGATAACCCGTCCGAGTCAAAGACTTTTTGCTCAGACTTTCCACGACTATTTGAATAATAATCTTATAGTATTTGGTAGACGCGTTATGGTTTAAAACTTCGCAATCAGTATCCATATTCTTGAAATGATTTTGACTGCTTATATGGGTTTATTTAAGAGAATGGGAGAAATTTTTTCAAGTTTTGCCCCTATATATTTGAATTCGTGAAACTCTGGTGTACACAGAATTACGAATAGTTAAGTATGTGTAAGAAACTGAAAGACGTGAGCTTTTAGATACCATAGGAGTTTTCCAAAGATATGGTTTCCATTTCAAATCAGGTTCGTAAAAAAGGTAAGAAAAACGTTTATTACCAGTGGCGTAGCGCCAGGGTTTCCGTTCGGGGAGGTGGGGGGAAAGGAAAAAATTCTTTTGAGGAGGGTGCGTCAGCCAAAGAAATTTGGTATGCATCCCATAATTATTTTGCGAGCCATTCACGCCCCCCCCCCCTCATTACGCCCCTGTGTATCACTTATGAGCCATCCTAATTTATCCTAATACATTAAGCTGTGTGAGAAGTTCCAAAGGGTTAAACAGTTTCCAGTCAATCTCTGCATAAGCAACAGGCGCCACTATCTTATATATAAAGCTGAATGTCTGTTTGTATGTCTGTATGTCTGTCTGTATGTCTGTCTGTATGTCTGTATGTACGTATGTTCCGAATAGAAAATTCCATTTCTGAACCGATCGGGACCAAACTTGGCACACATACACTTTGGGCCCCGGCGAGTGTCATAGGCTACTTTTCGTCATCGATCGATATCGATTTTATCGATTTTTATCGATTTTTTTGCTGAGTTCACCTACGGGGCTGGGAGTTGGCACAGGGGGGTAATCGAGCATGGGGATTCCGAATACAATATTGGTTTTCAGGATTATCGATTACTTTTATCGATTTTATCGATTTTTTTGCAAAGTTTGAGCTACGGGGGTGGGAGTTGGCACAGGGGGGTAATCGAGCATGGGGATTCCGAATACAATATTGGTTTTCAGGATTATCGATTACTTTTATCGATTTTATCGATTTTTTTGCAAAGTTTGAGCTACGGGGCTGAGAGTTCGCACAGGGGGGTAGTCGAGCATGGGGATTCCGAATACAATATTGGTTTTCGGGATTATCGGTTACTTTTATCGATTTTATCGATTTTTTTGCAAAGTTTGAGCTAGGGGGCTGGGAGTTGGCGCAGGGGGGTAATCGAGCATGCTGATCATCCCCAAGGGGGGTGATCAGCATGCTCGATTACACCCCTGTGCCAAATTCCAGCCCCCTAGCTCAAATTTTCAAAAAATCGATAAAATCGATAAAAGTAATGGACGATCTTGAAAACTAATATTGTATTCGTAATCTGCATGCTCGATTACTCCCCTGTGCAAACTCCCAGCCCCGCAGGTCAAACTTTACAAAAAAAATCGATAAAATCGATAAAAGTAATGGACGATCCTGAAAACTAATATTGTGTTCGTAATCAGCATGCTCGATTACCCCCCTGTGCAAACTCCCAGCCCCGCAGGTCAAAATTTACAAAAAAATCGATAAAATCAATAAAAGTAATCGATAATTCTGAAAACTAATATTGTGTTCGGAATCCCCATGCTCACTTCCCCCCTGTGCCAACTCCTAGCCCTGTAGGTGAACTCTGCAAAAAAGATCGATAAAAATCGGTATAATCGACATCGATCGATAACGAAAAGTGGACTGTGACACCCGCCGGGGCCCGAAGTGTATGTGTGCAAAGTTTGGTCCGGATCGGTTCAGAAATGGAATTTTCTATTTGGAACATACGTACACGGGTCTAGCTGGCAGGCCCGGCGGAGCCGGGCAAGCCAGCTAGTCTTATATATGGAGCTGAATGTCTGTTTGTCTGTCTGTGTGTACGTATGTTCCGAATAGAAAATTCCATTTTTGAACCGATCCGGACCAAACTTGGCACACATACACTACGGGCCCCGGCGGGTGTCATAGGCTACTTTTCGTCATCGATCGATATCGATTTTATCGATTTTTATCGATTTTTTTGCTGAGTTCACCTACGGGGCTGGGAGTTGGCACAGGGGGGTAACCGAGCATGCTGATTACGAATACAATATTAGTTTTTGAAATTTTCCATTAGTTTTATCGATTTTTATCGATTTTTTTGCTGAGTTCACCTACGGGGCTGGGAGTTGGCACAGGGGGGTAACCGAGCATGCTGATTACGAATACAATATTAGTTTTTGAAATTTTCCATTAGTTTTATCGATTTTATCGATGTTTTGCAAAGTTTGAGCTACGGGGCTGGGAGTTGGCACAGGGGGGTAACCGAGCATGCTGATTACGAATACAATATTAGTTTTTGAAATTTTCCATTAGTTTTATCGATTTTATCGATGTTTTGCAAAGTTTGAGCTACGGGGCTGGGAGTTGGCACAGGGGGGTAACCGAGCATGCTGATTACGAATACAATATTAGTTTTTGAAATTTTCCATTAGTTTTATCGATTTTATCGATTTTTTTGCTGAGTTCACCTACGGGGCTGGGAGTTGGCACAGGGGGGTAACCGAGCATGCTGATTACGAATACAATATTAGTTTTTGAAATTTTCCATTAGTTTTATCGATTTTATCGATTTTTTGCAAAGTTTGAGCTACGGGGCTGGGAGTTCGCACAGGGGGGTAATCGAGCATGGGGATTCCGAATACAATATTGGTTTTCGGGATTATCGATTAATTTTATCGATTTTATCGATTTTTTGCAAAGTTTGAGCTAGGGGGGTGGGAGTTGGCACAGGGGGGTAATCGAGCATGCTGATCATCCCCAAGGGGGATGATCAGCATGCTCGATTACACCCCTGTGCAAACTCCCAGCCCCGCAGGTCAAACTTTACAAAAAAATCGATAAAATCGATAAAAGTAATGGACGACCCTGAAAACTAATATTGTGTTCGTAATCAGCATGCTCGATTACCCCCCTGTGCAAAATCCCAGCCTCGCATGTCAAAATTTACAAAAAATCGATAAAATTAATAAAAGTAATCGATAATTCTGAAAACTAATATTGTATTCGGAATCCCCATGCTCACTTCCCCCCGGCGGGTGTCATAGGCTACTTTTCGTCATCGATCGATATCGATTTTATCGATTTTTTGCAAAATTTGAGCTACGGGGCTGGGAGTTGGCACAGGGGGTAATCGAGCATGTTGATTACGAATATAATAATGACAGGGCCGGGCGGAGCCGGGTAAGTCAACTAGTTCCATATAAGTCTTCACCACATGTAAACTTACATCAGGCGAGAATGCACTAGTCTCCGATGCAAAGGATTGTGACACTAATCCCCTGAGAACTATACAATATCTGGGAAAGCAAGTAAGCACTAACTGACGCTGAACCAGACTTCGCAGCGTAAAAGCTGCGTACGCTAGGCACGTTACCAACTCTTGCACTGGCACATTAATATGGATCATATGACTCAAGCTTCTTCCGAAAACTTATGAAGGAAGTGCAGTTTGTCTTAAAAGTCTTGTAGTCTACTGTTTTCCGTAAAAACAGGAAAATATCAACACAGGAAGACGAAATATGGTGCACACATCATTCATAAGATAGTATACAACATAGCATTTGATTGAGATAGCAAATCTACCGTTAATGCAAACCTTCAAACTGCTGGATTGCACACCTGCCTGGCATGCAGTCGTCGCCCAATTCCCCCCCCCCCCCCCCCTTCCCCCCCTCCCCCTCCCCATCTTTACGTAAATATAATAGTTTCTATAGTTTAGAAAATGTGCTGTATGTTAGAGCGAGCTTCCGTATTCAATGGACTGCGATAGTTTTTGAATTCAGGGTGAAATTACTGGACCCCGCAGGAATGTGCACGCTGCATGCTGGAACGAAAAGTTTACAGGAAGGAGTAATAAAAAATTGTCTCCAACTTGGTTTTGAAATAATTTCGTTGAGCGAGACTTGTTCTAAAAGACACAAGGAGAGTTAGTTTAGATTTAGCGACTGCTGCAATTCCAAATCAATCTCAAAACATAGCGGCCGTAGCAGACGATTTGGGTTTCTTGAATAGATCGAATACAGCTACTACTAATCCTTGGTAACACACTGTCTCCTTCCTGTGGTGGACAAGAAACTTACCACAATGTTTCGAATATCTCCACTTGCGAAATAAATTGTTAATAAAAATAGATTTTTGCGTTTAAAAAGCAATGATACTTTTTTTGCCAATACATATGAAGACCATTTATACTCGCAAGTATATTTTGAAGATAATAATCATAGCATTTTGTACTATATAAACTAAAAAAGTAATGCAAACTTAGGCTATAAGACGAGATTCTGGCCAAAAATGTGCAACAAAAATTGTAGCACCACGTTTTACATAACTGATAATAAGATCCTAGAGTACATTTTTGTACATAACATTGCAGGTTTCTGGCTCGGATCATCATTCAACTGCATGGTTTTGGCTATCAATAGATTCGTAGAAATGATTCCGTCAGTAGCATTCCTGCGATTCCTTTTCCGAGGTATTTCTTTCAAGTATTGGACTTTACAGAAGTGGCTGTTTTTGAGCATACAATACTTGTTTCTTGAAGGAAAGATATTGTACATATGGATAGTGTTTTCCGTGGCTTACATGCTCATGGCGTGGTTTGCGCTAAGACCGATACCGTTCAACTCTGCTGTCTCTGCATTCATAGCTACACCAATGATCAGAGACTTTGCCTGGGTAAGCGACATAGGAACAACGATTTGAATTTAGTTTCCTATGTCTTACGCATGCAAAGTTTTCATCATTTTACATCCCCAAAGAAATGCTTTTAGGATTATCTACATTTTACTTCTCTTACAGGAATATCTACATTTTACTTCTGCTTACCAGCTCATTCACAATGGCTCTCTGCTCATAGTTATGACTACGACATACACAATTCTTTGCTACCATCTATACGTTTCACGCAGAAGAACCGGTCGCACTGAAAACTATCGGGTAAGATTCGCTTGCATAACGCAAATTTCGTGTATGAAGCAACTGCACAACACAAATACCAGCAATTGTTTTTGGAACAAAGACAGCTACTCGAAAAACGTTCTCAGCTAGGAAAATGTTCTTGCAAAAAAATCTCCATATTGTGCTTTTCAAGTCAAGTCCTTGTATTGGTCATGGAATAAAGGTGAAGTCCAGCGTACGCACAAACTCACTTCCTTGTAAGAAAAAAGTCTTGCTATAGAGCTGGGTAATCGCGAGAGTCGATGAGTTTGCGGCCATTGCGCCGCGCATTAAGCTTTCACATTTATCTTTCCCCTTTCAAACGCTTTTCTGATCAAATGTTCTCCCAGTTACCGAAACCATTTTGAAAAGTACGGGATTAGTTAAATGGTTTGAGGCCTTGTTGCATCCTTCTTGTGCTATGGCCGCAAACTCGCCTACTCTCGCGATCGCGCAGAGCGCTAAAGTAAAATTTGTTGTGAATAATCATTTGTGCAAAAGTTCTACAAGCAATAATTTTTCGTGGATAGAAAGGTTCGATGAGTCTAATGTTGAAGGTCCAAGAGTAAAGCAAGGGCTAGCAGAGCCCACGGCAAGTGTGATTTTCAGAATTTGAAAGTTGCTATACATACATGTTTTCTCTATATACCCAAGGCTACTTCATGTGCCAGTCAGTTCTTATAAGGGAGCATTGCTATGGCAAAAAAGGCAGGTCTGCAGAAGAACGCTGTGGTATCTCATAGCTAAAGAACTCTCCACGCACCGAAACTAACTAACAAGGGAAGTACTTTTAATGGCCGTGGCCTTTTGATATGAAATGCATACCATCTGAAGCAGCTTCGAACGCTGATTTCAAATCTGCTTTCCTTTTCTGTGGAGCGCTCTTCTGAAGAGAGTTATGTAAGCCTGATTATCCTGTTTTGGGGCGCCCCTTTAGTATGAGGAGGCTGCTGTTGTGTTGGTGGTGCAGTGGCGTAATGGTTAGTTGTTGGCATTGAAGGCGAAAGGTCGACGGTTGGAATCCGCTTTGATTGAATCCATTTGAAAGGTTTTGAATTCATTTGAGACGCCACTACAATATTGTACCCCTAGTAACTTAATGGCTACTTGCGAGCATGAGAATTGCGCGGAGGTTTTCTTCATAAGCTGTTCCCGTTGTGAAAAATGTCTCTGTTTTGCTCACTTCGTAATTTCGCTTCACCTCTGTACATGAGTTTTTTTGCGGAGAAAACCAAATCTCAACAAGCAAGCGGTCCTGCCAGAAAATTTTTTCCTTAAAGGCAGTGTCCGGGCAAAAACTCGATTTTGAGATTTTGTGCTTATAGGGCCTATTCGCCATGCTGAATCCGAAAATCCACACTGGAAAGCGTGAAAACGGCGAAAAAGGGCTTTAATACAGGAGGGAAATCAGCAGGTGGGCGGAGCTTTCCCCAGTGCGATTTCACGCTCCCAGCTCCCGGAGCGATTTTCTCGATTCCGCTAGCCGTCCTAACATCGCTACCGGTCAAGTGCGAATGATTGATTTGAAATCGGAAGCGAGAAGGTGGCTCCGGGAGCCGGGAACGTGAATTCGCAGTGGGGAGGACCCCGCCCACCTGCTCATTTCCCTCCTGTGTTAGAGCCGTTTTTCGCCATTTTCGCGCTCTACAATGTGCATTTTCGGATTCAGCGTAGCGGATAGGCCCAAGTAAGCACAAAATCTCAAAATCGAGTTTTTGCCCGGACACTGCCTTTAAGTCACATTTTCCAAGGGCATTACAGTAAGTGTCTGCAGACGAATAGAGTGGTTTTTAAACTCACATTCGTAGTGCAAAATGGTACTTCCAGACTTTTAACTCTCTTCAAAACAGCGCTCCGCAGAAAGGGAAAGCAGATTTAGAATCAGCGTTCGAAGCTGCTTCAGATGATATGCATCTCATATCAAAAGGCCACGGTCATTGAAAGTACCTTCCTCGTAAGATTATGGGAATGGAGTTTGGAAGAAGTTATGATAATTTGAATTCGAAAATTCAAATCGGACAGTTTTTATGCAGCAGCCTGATATTTGTGGGCAACGTGCCTTTGTAAGCAAAGTTTACAGCAAATTCTGAGGTTCCACTTCAGCGTTGTACAAAATGAAGGGCTGCAAGTACCAACCGGGAATCGTTGGCATTATCTGAAAATTATAGTGTCATTGTGGATCTCTGCCCGGAATTCACGTTAGTCACAGCCGGTGTGCGTAGTGACAGAAGATCTCCACAAGTAAATCGTTGATTAGATAGAGCTAGGGTAACTATGCAGTAAGTAATCAATGTTATAGAATCTAAAATTACAAAAAAACTTTCCAATTATAAGACGCATCGAGCGGTTGTCATCATATGTAAGGTCTATATTTATATGTACATGTTTGAATTAGAGCTTTTCAGATTTTTATGCAGGTGTTTCTCATATGTCTTTCTACTGGCTTAACTGCTATTGGTTACGTGTTGCTGGGATTTGTTATCGTGCCTAGAAGCGTGGTTATAGCAGCTCATGTATTTTGGCAACTCAGTCACGGTAAAGAACTTTACGTCGGAGTTGCATGAATTTATGTCGTTTAAAAAAGGAGGAAGGAGATGGAGGAGGGAGGGTGTTGCTATGCCGTGATTCTTATTATAGCAATTGATCTAGGTGTACATGCAATAATCTACCTATGTTTCAACAAGCGGATTCGAAAAGAAGTTATGGGTACATTTCTCAAATCCAGTTATGTGGAGCAATCTACGGGAACTGCTATCACCTAAAATAACTCTAAATCTGACGCGAAGCAGCTAAGTCAATATCAAACAGACCCACCAACTTAGAACTGACTGTACTCAGGAATCTTTATGTATATAAAACTCAAAAATTGTTTGTTTGGAGGGTATGGGCGTTATAGAAACGGGCGCCGCTCAACCGATTGAGCTGAAAACTTTGCATACAGATATTTTCTACCCCGGAGACGGTTTTAGGCCAATTTTTACTAGAACTTGCGTCCTTCTAACGATTTATTGATTTTTGGCACTTCGCAATGAAAATGAACACAATCAAAAGTTATCAAACCGCTTGTACATTTTGGTGTAAAGAATGTAGTAAAGTTCATTTTCATCTTAAAGTGAAGAAGACGCAGTGGTTCGAAACAATTGTTTTGAGGTAGGCTCATGTAAAAGAGTAAGGGGGAAAGGGGGGGGGGCTTTCAGTGTAGTAATGAGACTGTAGAAAAGGGGCAGAGAACATGGTTGAACCGAACGAAAAAGACGGGAAGGAGGGAACAGAAGGTGTGACTTTGGCAATCCTTCTGAACTATCAGGGCTGGAAAGCCAGCTAGTATATCAATAAATTCGAATAGCGAGAAAAAAGCAGGACATTTTTCGTTTAAATTGATCAGATGCAGTATATTCCAAGATGCTGAAAGGAAATGAAAGGTGGATGCAGCAGAAATTTTTGAAGAGAGTGGAAATAGAAACACGTCGTTGCACAACTCGCATATTTGGACAAGGCGCTCTCATGGCGAATCCAGTTTTCTGTTCCAAGACAGCCCGAACTTTTCGGAACTGCAAATTTGTCAACTACGTAGTGGACTTTTTGATTATCACATAGGAGCTGGCATCCCGGTCCATCCCATTCTGGAGCCAGTCCATGGTGTTTGATCTCTCATGTAGCGGAATTTGCCCTTCTTTTGATTCCGACTCTTCTTGAGTCCGCTTCCTTCCGTCCTTGTCTTTTAATGACTATAAGATCAAAGTGAGCTCACTGCTCATCCTTCGTGACTTTGGAAAATGTGCACAGACAAACAGACACACAGATTTTCTTATATATAAGATGGAGATTTGACAAGTCTCTTGGTTTCAAACAACAATGATGCTCACTTCCACTTTGCAGATTTCTTCCACCACATCAGAAAGAGCAAAAGAGCGTTGAAAAAGGGTAGAACTGTCTTGAAGGCGATTGATCTGACGCACAAAGTAGGCTAGAAGTCCTTTACTTTTTTCATTTGTACAGCGCTCAAAATCAAATGCAGACGGTGACAATTATTTAATCAAGTGATATGCACATAAAGGGCATCCTGATTATGGCACATTCGATAGACTGAAGTGATATCTGGAAAGAATCTCAAAACAACACCGGTATCAACTTGACATGGAGATGGCAGTAGACAACATATGTGGAAAACTAGTTACAATGAGGAGGGTAGTAGCCGCTGTTTAGGCTCAAGTTTGGAACCTTATAACAGCAGTAGTAACATAACAATAAATATGATTTTCTGTAACCGGCAGTAGCATGTTGATGAGGGCTCATCAAGCGTAGATTGAGGACCAAGGCGAATGATACGAGGAGAGCTAAGTGGTCCCACACCACCTGAATTGTACCCAGCAACCTAGAATGCGTTTTTTTGCTATGACTGCGCGGAAATATTCTTACTCTGTGAGCGTACCTGAATTGTGTACATATACATGAGTCGAAGGCCATCTATACGAGCACTTGGTCGATCTGGATTTGTAAGTCTACTGCTAGGCATTGTCAATACCACAGCTTCCGAGGCAGTTTCCGACACGTAAACGAATATCTAAAAAATGAAAATTTACACCGCTTCCCGAATAAAGCAAGATGATATTCTATGAATATGTGTTTGTGTTCTATGCATTGCTCGTCTTCTCAAAAGCTCCAAGGATTGATAGTGACAGATAGAATTTCAAAATTTTTTTGTGTTCTTCACGCTGTGGGAGATGCAAACAACAACATGTAAAAACAAACTTCATGAGAAAAAATCAGGTACTCTAACAAAAAATATTTCACCATCAAAAACTGCTTTTGTAAAAGTTATAAAGTATGCGAGCTATACAAAAGTTGGAAGATTCGAGGCGAAAAATTCTCAAGATCAAATTCCGGTGTATGTTTATGACAAAATCGCAATTATCAACATTACTTACATCATGTCCAGTATTCATCACATATGCTAATCAGTGGCGAACCGAAAGGGGGGGGGGGTGGGGTGAAGGTTACTTACAAGTGTCATAAAAATGTGCAAATGAGTTGTTTATACTTGTATGGCTAACGCCACGCACTCGTATTTGAAAAAAGTTTTTATCCTTCAACCCCCCCCCCCTTCCCGAATGTAAATCCTAAGTACACCACTGTGTGGGACGTACGAGTGTAGATAAGTGAAAGTCTGTCTAGCTTACTTAGTGACCATTATTTGGCCCTATGAAAACGTTCTAGCGAACAGCATTAGAGTGTTCATTATTTGATTTTGGCAATATTCCCTCATGCAAGAGTAATTGTTCCGAAAGAAAGTAGATCAGCATGAATTACGAAATTCATGCCGATCTCCTTTCTTCTAGTACATTTTCTTTGATTTCCGTTCTCCATCTTTATTCTTCGGTGAAGTTCAATTTCAAGTTCAAAGATATTAGAAATCATATGAAGTGCATCCTTCCGAACAAAAAGCAAATTTATGTGCATTATCAAGTAGTTAACAAAATTTTTGTTCATAAAGCCATGATTTGATATGGGCAAAGCGGTTACCGGTAAAAGATCTAATTTGAGATACGAAAAAAACTTCTAGAATACTAATTCACTATTATTCCATAGGCACGCGCCATACTTGATCCGCTTGATCCGCTTGATCCGCTTAATCCACTTCACTATTGGTCAAATCATCAAACTGACCAATAGTGAAGTGGATGAAGTGGATCAAGCGGATCAAGCGGATCAAGTATGGCGCCTGCCATACAGAGTGCGAACATTACGCTCACCTTATAACCAGTAGTCGAATCAGTGGCATTCGAATGCGGGAAATCTATAGCTGTCCACTCGATGATGGTGGTATAGCCCACCTCGTTTTCCTATAGGATTGAAAATTTCTACAACTGCATCTGAGCCAAACTTGGTAAATATGCATACCACTGTTCTCAACGAGAGTTTATTGATAGTAGGGGCTTCGGAGGGCGGTCTTTGCTTCGTCGTCACTTCTACAGAAGAGTTTGTTTCATCGTAGCTATCCTAAAGCAGGTTTTTTTTTCCAAAAGTTTCTAGATAGTGTTTCAAGCTAGATGAGTTTCTTACATTGCTGTCGAAGGGCTGAAGGGTGCAAGTGTATTTTGTATCAGGGCTTAGCCCTCCCAAAATCCACTCGGCTAAATCGGCAGCGATGGCAACAGCAATGGAATCGCCGTCGTCTGTTGAGCAATTGAGCTGAAGTTTACGAGGAAAATTACAGAATTTCTTCAAGAGAAAAATCGGAAAACAAAAAATAAAAACCTCAAATCCCCCGTAAACAGGCATGAAAACCTTCTTGATTACTCTTTTTTCAAATTTTGCGGATGAATACATGAATAAACTATTTTAATTCTTCCTAATCCGTTTGTGTTTACTTGTTTTTCTTTCAAAGGTTACATCAAAAACTCGCTATATACCTACCTTCTCATCCCATTATTTTTTTTCAAATTTTTCCTGGTGTGAATGAATAAAATATAATAGAGTTTAGGAAAAGCACTCTTTTTTGTTTCTACAGATTTATTGGAGTAACTATCAAAAACTATCTGCCCATGTTGCTCGCGGTAATCCGTACGTGGTTAGGTAACAAAAGTTCTGTGACACTTCTCAATCATAATTTTTTTATCACCTCAATCGGAATTTTGATTCTGTTTTCATTTTCTTTGCACTGCAAGTGAACACAAGGAAAAATGGGGTAAACTATCCAGAAATCTACCTGAACAGCCCGTGCTCTTCCACATTCATTGACTTTATCCCATTCCCATGTGAAGAATATATGAGTAGAATTTAGGGCAGTGACGTTTGTAAAATGCACTTTACGTGGCTCCCCTAGAAAGAATAGATTTTCCTCGCGGTAAAATAAACGAGCGAAAAATTGACCTTTGTTATTTACAAAAGCTACTGTATCAGTGCTGGTAAGTCCAATTCCCTGATCGTTCACTGGTCTGACGGAGAAAATCAACATTCGACACTCATCCGTTGTGTTCATTCTAACAATCGCTTGTGGTGTCTTGGTTTCTGACGAAGGTTTTTTAGGGAATCAAGACTTGAAAAAAAAAAGTTTGCGCAACACTTACCAACGTGATGCGTGCGAAAATTGCGTTCCCCTTCAGATATATTTTCAATCTTAGCGTTGTTGTCTTCTAACGACCATGAAAGTCTATATCGAAGATGATCACCAGAGCTATGGGCCTGCAAAACAGATATGCTTTTTGCTACAGACTATGAATTACGCGCACCGTTTCCACCGGGTTCCATTCGACAAAAATTGTATTGTTGTCAAGCGCTTTCCATCGTAGTCCGTCGACAGCTTCGACTGGTGCAGCTGGAGGGGTTCTTATCCAAGATGTAGGAGCAGACAAATCGCCAGAACTGACCGAGTCAATCGTTCGAACGCGAAACTGCAAAAAAATTCAAACTTTCTTTCGCTCAAACCTTTTCTGAGACTTTGCAGCAATTTTGGCGCAAGCCGTATATCAATAAAAATTTGGTGATTTCGAATGTCGAGGTCACAATATGAACATGATATGTTCTATTCTAGCTTCTCCGCAGAGGGAGGGGAGAAGGAAGAGGAGACGAATTTTTTCGAATATTTGAGCGTAACCCTTGTCCGATTTTCCAGAAATTTACGAACTGCTTCCCAAAATTCAGCGGATCTATAACCTTTAGATTTTGAAAACTCCGAAAAAAAATTTTTGCAAGGCATTTGATTTGCTAGAAAATTTTGACAGATACTTTCATTATTTACAAATGAGTCAAGTAACTTGCACAACTTTAGAACCCATGTAGGCTACTTCTAAATTTTGCGACCCCTCCGCTACCGATTCTGCTACGATACCTGAGTTGTAAGTCAGACAAACTTTTTGCAATGCAGCTTCGAATATTTGTGAAGAATTGTTTGATCAAACTACCCTGCCCTTTCTCCTCCTCCTTTCAGTTAAAGAATATATAATACATTATATGAGGGTTTCCATTCTGAAACTAACCTGGTACAGAGTATTTGGCGAAAGACCATCGAGTGTAACGCTTTGGGAGTCAGTTTCTCCCACAACTTCTCGAGGAGCAGGTCTCCATTGTCTGTCTTCTTTGGTACGGAGCTCTACTAAATACCCACCAGATCCTTCATTCTGCAAAGGAAAACGTAGAGCAAGGCTTAGTAGCAAGAGTGATTTAAGCAGCTGTACAGTGAGGAACAGTTCTCACCTCTCCGCTTATTGCATGATTCCTTATATCACGATGAGTACTGGGTTTCCTCCAAGCCAGTCGGACTGCCTGCTCATCCTGCTCTGCCCTTACAGCTAGTGGAGCTGGGATCAGAGGTTTTGGGGTGAGCTCCAATGCGTCTTCGCCATACAGAGAAAAGCAGACAACTTTGCTGGGTTTTGCAGAGTTGGTAGGAGGTGACATCTGAAAAAGCATGAATGGATGTGGTAGATTTAATACATTCAGCTGAGTAGCAGACCTGAAGATCAACTTTCTGCACCAGTCGACGTCCATGGCTTGAATGACGCATCTGTTCACGAAACTAAACGTTTAGCGTTGAATAATCTCAAGTTCTACAATTTGAAAAAGAAAGAAAATGAACCTTCGTCTTGATGTGCAGTTTTGGCAACGAATCCAGTGACCGATTATCGAATGTCCACTTGAAGAACGCCTCCGGACATTCCGATGAAGTTCCGCAGTCTACGGCTACGGAACACGAGATATTCACGGCACTCTCAGGAGCCGAGCTCTCGGAGCTTACTTGGACCTGCGCTTTATCTAAACAATGAAAGTTGAAAATACTTTTATTCGCCTAAAGTTTCGCTCTTACTGACCAACAACTACTAGTTCCACTTGTGTATGCGCCTTTCCCTGTCGATTATGGGCTGTACAGAAAAAATATCCGGCATCATCTGTAAATTTATTTTTGTGGACAGCAAAAAAAAAATGATGGCTAGATACACAATGAAAAACCAACGATTTTTCACTAAACGTGACCATGCCAAATTCAAAGTTTTCAAACGTTTCTCAAAAACGTATAATGGAGGTGGAGACGATCGGTCAAAATTCAAAGAGCGAATTTATGTATGAAGGAAATCAAATTAAAATGCACTTTTAGGTGCAGGTACGAGATCTGCTAGGTTTGGCACCATCTGCCTCAAAAAAATTCTAGTATAGATTGAAAAAGACAGGCCATAAGAGCAAACTTGAGAGAAGAACATTGCCAATTCAACTTTTTTATATGTTCACTATCAGCAGCTTAATAGACTCTTTAGCAAGTCACCGTGACCTATGACGGAGTGGTTTAGAGGAGAGCATTTTTTTATAAAGCTTTCCTAGAAAATTCAAAATTTGCTCGTTTACAAAGTCTAAAGATCAAAATATCAGTTTTACAGAAAGTGCAGTCAAAAAAGCTGTTCCCGTTAACACCCAATATCCGCCCCCCCCCTCCACCCCTTTTTTCGAATACGCAATAACAACGAGGTCTATAATAGTACTCTCTTGGCATAAAATATGTGGTAAAATTAATGAAGTGCTAATAACTAATCTCACTGCAACAAACTGGATGCCTTACCTGGTAGCACGCTTTGGATATGCAGAACTCCGTGATGGTCACGAACTCGGCCTTTGTGGGGAAGTTTGACTCCACCAGCGTCAGCCCATCGACTATGTCCTCTTGGGGAAGCATAATAGTAGCACGGCACCGTCTTAAAGAAATTCTTTGTATTTGATTCCTGCAGAACAGGGGGATAGGATAGACTTCTTAAAAATTTCTACTTCAGAAAGAAGCTATTTCGCAGAAAAGGCTGTTCATTTAGCAAGGTAGAGAGCAAAAAGCAAGACAATGAAGGAGCACGAAAGACCTAAAGTCAGTGCTTGACATTTTTCCTCGTGTGATCTCACCCAAAACTGAACATCTGCCAAGAGAGTCCTGGCCTCATTTAAAAAAACCCTTGTATGTACGCTCGCAATAAAGCGTTTAAAACTGAAGTACACGAGGGTTTTTTGCAGGGTTAGAACATCTTCATATCAATATTTTTCACCCCTCAAGTAGGCCCTCCGTGACTCACCACTGAGCTCCCATTCACAGCAAACAATTTTTTCGGCATCGACTGTCGAGGAAAAACTGGAGGTGAATCACGAATCAGTACGTAAGCTGAGGAGGAAACCACTCCCACTTCGTTGCTGACCACGCACTGATAAACTCCAGAATCAGCTTCAGTCGTGGAATTGACTATCAAGCTAGAAAAAAAAATAGGATTTGCATTCCCATAAGCACTTGTTTTGACACCTACATATTCTGTTCGACGGTAAATCGCCGCCTTTGTTGACTAGGCATAAGTAGAGGTACAATGGGCTTTGCGTCCTGTAAATATAGAGCCGTTGAGGGGTAGGCAAACTTCGCAAAAATGTTTTGCACTCACTTTGAACCATTCTACGGATGATTGCATGTCCATGGTGGATAGCGGACATTCTAGCGTGAAAGATGATGCTGATGGAACTACCCGATCAGATAATGGGATTATGATGGAGGGAGGGGCTAAATTTGAAGATTTTGTACAAGGAGACAGAACTATGATTGTATGAGGTTTTCATAGAAGTATAGAAGTTCTGTTGCACGATTTTGAAAATCTTTGATATCTTTTGATATCTTGACCCATTTGCATGACTTCAACTTTATTCAAAATATGAGGAAATGATGTAATTTGCAACAGAATATAATCATTAGCAAGAAAGTGCCAGAAGTGAAAGGCAAAGAAGAAAGTTACTCGAGTTTTGATGTTTTAAAAACAGGTCGTCGAAAATGATTCAGGGATAGCCAAGTGACACAAAGAAAATAGTCTAATGATTTCTCGTTTTATCCCTACCATTAAGGGCCGGGCATACTTCACGCGATTTCATTTGCGACGCGATTTGGCAATTCGCCAGAACTCTTCAGATCCAACATAAGCAAACTGCACATGTATGGTATGTATAACTTACATGGATTGGTAAAATGCCCTAATTTCTGTACATTTGAAATGTGCCTACAGTGAGTTGTGCACAGTTGGAATATTGCCAAGTCGCGTCGCGACTGAAATCGCGTGAAGTATGCCCGGCCCTTTAAACGAATTTATTTAGACCCTCTCCGGAACTCCTCAGTAAGAAAGTAAGGTCTAGTATTTGGATAGAAGATTTTTGTGAAAAGCCTTAGAAAATTTATCATAAATATTGCAAGTCTTCTTTTGTGGGACAATCCAAGTAAATTTACGACTTACTCTACAAAGAAAAAAAAAGAGAAAGCTTCGGGTACCTACCGAAAATTTTCCAAGGTTGTCGACAGAAATTTTGCATCAAACTAACAAAAATGATAAGCAGGAGTTGAGGTAGATTTCGTAAATAATCTATGAAGTTTTTTCCAAAAGCATATATACAAGTTTGCCACCGCCATCAAAATAGATTACAGGAGCTCCACCATTCGTTTCTTTAGCTTTGTCGGTAAAAATCCACCAAAAAAATCTACAGTAGTTTGTTTGCATAATAAAGCCTCGTCTTTCTTATTTCTCTGAATTTCTATGTTCATTAGAATGTCAATGAAAAACAAACTTCTCAGCGTGAGTGTGACCTCTCCAGCTGCTACCCCAAGCGAATTTCCCGCAGAGCACTTGTATCTGCCGTTGTCGGAAGCTTCTGCATGGTCTATCCGAAGCACTCGTCCATACTGTGTATATATTGCTTTCTTGTTGATTCGCCTTCCATCCACTCGCGTCCACTTGTAGACAGGCACTGGGCTGTAACAGAAGAACTCTTAGTTTCCCAGCCTCTAATGTCAGACCAAAAATGACATTTAGCACGTTTTTTCACTCACTTTCCATACGCGAAACATTCCAGATATACTGCTGACCCTAGTGTAGGCGCCTCAGGGAAGACCTGTGGCTGCGAAGAGTCAATCCGAGGCGCAAATGGCATCTCTTGTGGAATGGGCACTTGCAGTCGAAAGAAAGGCCCATAATGGCCTGACTGCGTGGACGTCAGGGAAAGTGAGCAGGCGTAGCTGAAGTGCTATACTATTAGTACTTTCATAGATAAATGTACATCCATACTATCAGGAAAGCAAAGCCTAATTGTATACCAACTATGATAATCATTCGCCCCCCCCCCTCCCCGAGAGTGGGACGCAAAGTTATTTTGAAAGTTACTTCTATGAGTTACAAAAATGTGCAAGCGACATTTGTACTTGTAGATAATAAAACTTTTGGGAATTTTCAATAATTCAGTCTGGCCTTACAATTTCTCGGGGTTATGGGCCGCAAAAATTTCAGCCAGCATATCAAAAAGAATTTTCGGAGTGCGTAATGGGCAATGCCATGCTCCTTCATCAGAAAATTTTCTGTTCCCCCCCCCCCCCCCGAACAGAAATTCTGGGTACGCCACTGTTAGCTACATCCTAGATTGAAATGTTGTACTTCAAATTGCCCATACATAGCCTTTAAGTTCTAGTCTCTGCTTTTACTGACAATTTCAATTAGAGTGCCCCTATTTTTTGGTGCACGGACACATGCATGGAAAAAATTCAAGTCCACTACATGGTAGCTTAATTAACTTTACAATTTGTTAGATTTGAATCACAATAAATTAACAGAGCTTCTCGGATCTAATTTCTCACTTTAGCACTACGCCGTTACCATAAATCTTTGCCAGAAGACGAGAGCTTTGTTCATTGGACAGTTGAAAGCGCAAAGCGAAATGTACTTAGAGAAGACTTAATGAAGATTGGACACTTAAGCTGTAAACATAACAAAAGACCGGTAATAGATCAGTTGCTCAGCTGTGCAAGTCGCTTTCGTCACAATAATCTATTTACATAATTCTGTTTAGTCTAGAGAACGTTCAAAGTGACTTCAAAACACAAAAAGTCTAGACTTGAGTCCATACTAACCTTGTCTCATCGTCCTTGGTTACGTAGGAAAAATATAGTGTCCCATCCAATGACACGAGTGTCCTCTCCGAATTCGGTAGAATCCGATCGGTAGATGAATCATAGAGCCACAAAAATGAGTACGACTCTGAAATGCGAAAAGGTTATCTTCATTTGATGCTACTCTGCCCTGAAACTTACCCTCCCTAGCTAGCACCAAATTGTTCTTTCTCAATAATATTAATTTCTGCCACCAATGCTCTACACCCACTGCTATTGTGTTGCTTTATTAGGAGCCCCATACCACCCTTGCGACACGTAACAAAGGTTTTTTGGAGTGGTTTATTGTATTTTTAGTATATGCGTAAAAGTAGAGAGCGGCACACATAGGTCTCGGGGCGAACAAAAAATGGTGCGAGTGCTGGTGCAGTGAAAGGTAATAGTGTGTATGAAGTGTGAGTGCATGGAATAAACAAAAGTGTGAGGAAATTTACGAAAACAAGGAGGATGAAAAGAGCAAAAGAGAAAGAGAGGGCACTAGAGGTGAAAGAAAAGCAAAAGAAGCGTTTGTACATTTTTCATGGTTGAATTTTGTACATGGGCTCACTGTCCCTTATAATAAATCTGTATAATTGTAGAACATAGTGTTCATAACGGAAAGTCCCCTATTTATGTTGCTTCAAAGACCATAGATTATACGTTATACTGATTTCGCAAAAACTTGGAGCAAATACTAGTGTCAAATTCGGCTACCGCCGTACAAGTGGTTTCAGACCCCAGCATATCTAGAAAAGCTAGAAAATTCCGCACGTTCTCTTCAGCAAATATGTATGTCACCCATTCCGCCAGAATTGACCACTTATGTAAACAAAAACCTCGTACTTAAGAAGAATCCGGATTTTCGCTTTTATTTTTTGCATTCTAACTCATTTTGTCTTCGCATCATCCATGAGATATGCAATACAAGGTGTCCCAAAAAATGTGCCTACTGTTTGATTGTTAATTACCCTCTTGTTATGGAATCTTTCAAGAAGGTTATGGTACTATTTTGTAGAGCTGACTTCAACTTATGTTAGATTTAACAATCTCTTTTCATTACTGTAGGATTATTGTAGAAATCCGCAACATACGCTTGTGAGATGGGCAGCTCGAAAAAAGTTTTAAAAAATTTGAAAAAGTTGTGTAATGAGATTTTTCTGCATGCTAATTTTAATAAATAACTTTTGCGGTGTTCGCGGAGCTTTTTAAATGGCGTAATCAAATTTTTGACAAATATCAGAAATCGCTTACAATGGTGTATTTGGCCCTTCTTTAAGGTAAAATGAGACCCTTCATGATCCAAAACCTTCCGCAAAGTTCCCACCGTAATCCACAGCAATAAAGAGATAACGGTAATTCGCTCCCTTCTGTGGATCTAAGTTGAAGCAAGCTCCACGGAACGGTATTTAAAGCTTCTCAGGAGTTCTCAAGAGATTTCATGATAAGAAGTTAGTAACAATCAAACGACAGGGGCATTTTTTGTATAACTTTTATATTGGAGACAGTGGCGGTAGCAGAAACTTTGCTTGCGGGCGAGGGGTGGGGACCTCCATTTTAGCAATTATATGACTCCGAGATTTTGAATGGGAATAGCGCGCTTCGGAAGAAATTCTTCCTGCGAAAAGACTTTCAATACTTTCACTTTCAAACATTTGTAAATTTTCTACTTATTCACAGATAAGAAAATCACATAATCTCAGTCTAAGCCTCTCCCTTCCTCTTCTCATGCGCCTCTGCTGCGAACATAGCTACCAGTATGTGCAGTTAATGGTAAAGATCCCACTGAAATCCAACTATGAATGGGGAGATTATGACAACGCAGGGAACGCTTTCTTCACAAATGGATAACATTTGAGTTCTGATTCAGTCAAGCGAAACTCTAGTAGTAAGGTTAACCGATAAGTCCACAGCACAAGAAGCATGAAGATTATGAACAAATAAATTGCTGAACCGAGATGAAAAATCTACTAAACGGTGGTGCGAGTGCGAAAATGTCGAGGGTGTGGTGCGAGTGCAGTGCAAGTGCGCGAATGACTTTGGACGAACACAAGTGCGAGTGCTTTGAGTGCTTCAAAAGTGAACAAGTGGGTGTATTAATGTGAAAATCCATGTAAGTCACATAAAACAGCGGAACACTGGGGATTTGGGACGTAGTGGAACGGAAGAGACAGCAGAAAGAAGAAGAATGACGAGGCAACTGGCGCTAGTCGGGTCGAATCACGCCCCTGGGGGCGAAGAAGGCGACGTACAGCTTGAAGTCGGAGCCATTCGCTGAATCAACACAATCCGTCTAATGAAAGCGACATTGTACGAGGCGAATACGGCGAAATAGCGAGCGATTCGACGAGGAAAGGGGCAATCGAGGAACGACAGTAGAAGTGAATGACAGCGGATAGCGGCTAACTCAAATAATGACACACGAGACGAGCCCTGTAACACTGTGACCATCGCGCACGGACCGGCTCAAAATGAACTGTGGATATCACCCCCTTCCTCGCGTTTTACTCGCGCAGCCACGAGTGGAAAAGCACCTGCAAGGCGAACAATGCGAGTCTCAGTTTACATGAGCCAGTTCATCGACATGAGAGGTAAATAAGAGTTGAGAGAGCCGCGCACGAGGAACTCAACTGACAAAGCTCGCCAGTTATGGTAATGCGACGTTCAGATCAGATGTGGCTGGAAAGTAGGCAATTGACCTGCATACTTTCGATCTCGCGTTCAGGCGTTCATACCACTAACTATCTCCATTAAGGTTCCAAGGACACAGCGTTTATTATGATGGAAGTCATGGTCGTCTGAGTAATACAAATGTGCGAGAAAGGAAGAGTGTAGGAGTCAAGAGGAGGAATCACTTTGAATCAGGATGATCTCCTAATTGTGACATGCGGGAAATTTGCTAGATCAAAGATGTCTACACATCTATTTACAGATTTCCATTTTTTCAAACACAGCGAAGTTCTTTACAAAAATTAGATAGTTCTTAATGTTTCCATTTTCGGATGTGCTGTTCTGAGAATGGAGAGTTTTGCTTACAATTGAAAAGAAGTTTGGGAGTCTTATTTCAAGCACAAAATTAGTGTCTCTGTATCGAGGGAGAGGGAGATGCAAACCAGGGTACATGCAGATTTTTTCTCCTAAACTTGAATAGTCACTAAAAACACTTATTGAGTTGACCATTACGATGCAAGGAAAAATCTTTTATTCAAGAATTTTCCAGCTGACACACGAAAGCACGTTTAGAATGTGAAATTCTGAACATAAAATATTACTCCAAATTTAGGTACTAAATGCACTTAAACTCGCCGCATCTACAGATGTACATAGGCAACAAATTTAAGATAAAGAAGAAGCTAAGAAAGAATTTAGAGCTACAGACGTAATCCTGCACTAGACTCATGCTAACATAAATATGAGAGTAATGCGTAGGTGGGTCAAGCTCCTTTTACACAACATTTGGGGGTCACTGCTTATTCAAACCAAAAAAGAAATGTACCAAAAAATCTAAAAAAGTATATTTCGTCATATCCTGCAAAACAAACATTCAAGGTTCATCCCTTTGACCAATCGCAGAATAATAATCGCCAATCCTCCTTATTTTTTTCATCACCTAGGCTAGAAATGGGATTGGACATAGTAAGTTAAGTTGTAAATATATGAAAAAGATTGCACACTGCACACGATTGCCAATCTCAAGTACCGATATTTAATGCTTCTAATCCCATCTTAGACCTAAACTAGACAAGGAAACATCCTATTTGGGAAAAAATATTCGGGGCAAGTTCAGTGGAAGCTAACCCAGAACCAAAGCAGCTTTTAGCAAGCGCAAGTTCCTAACCACGAAAAAAAATGCACTTACAATGTTTCTAGCCGCATCTTAGTCCTGATCCAAAGAAGGAACTGGAATAGCAACTGCACTAGTTTATCGTTCTAAATCTTGTTTACCAAAAGATTCCAGATGTCGGCCGCTTTCATTCGAAGCACAAAACTACTTTTTTACTAACATCGATCATCTGCTGCTGGTGAATCAGTGCATGTACAAGCAGCTTGGGATGAATCTTGCAATCTGGTTTGTCGTTGTCGGATGGCTATAGAGCTTTGTCATTGACATAGGTTTTTTTTGAGGAGTGGGGTAATCTGCCACGAAAGTGCACTCAAGAAATTCAGAGTCAGCGATTAATGATCTTTTTATTCATACTGTGGATTTTGTTGAATGGGCCTCAAAACTGATCGAAACCCACGCTAGATTTATAACCACTAGCAAGATTTTGGATGCTTTGATCGGTGAATAAGCTATGCGCAATATTCTCACGAGTTATGACTTACTGGTGTATCTCTCATTCCGAAGAAAAAAAACACCGCAAAGAATGCATAGCCTTATAATTTGCTCCCGGCAATAGAGCAATGCATTTACACTTACAATCAGTAAAGTAAGAGCATTTACAGCACAAAAATAAAAGCATTTTAAAAAGTTTCAAAGACGATCGAACTATTAATAGCTTGAGCAACGGCATTCAAAAAGTGACCTAGCCTTGAAATAATGCCGCTGTCAGTCGAATGGTGTACTATTCAACCCTTTGTACTGCTCATTCATCAAAAGTAATTGGCTTTACGCGATTTAGACAGTCTCAAAATAGTGGAAGGATTTAGATTTTCGTGGGTGGTCAGACAGCTGTTAAAAGTGCTTTGCGTGTATGTCCCGAGATTGCTGGTTTGATAGAAGATCTGTGAGAAATTTCCACGAACCAAAAACCTTACAACTTACGCAATGATTTTTTATTGCGTGGATTTGCTACGAGTTCTAGCGATTTCTTTGTCTATTTGGCTAGAAAGTATGCTGAATTTCTAAAACCACAAATTTCTAAAATTTTTAGAAATTTGTGGTTTCCTGTGATTTGATCGGTCATATTCGATGAATTCTAAAGAAGAAAATAGTGCACTTTCCATTGACGTTACATAAGTTATTTTTAGTATAATATTAACTTTATAAACTGTTTAAAGGCTACATTCTGATTGTAACTCTCAAGTTTCATTCGTCAAAGTGAGGAAGCTCAAAAAAATGTGATTATGATTTTGGTCTTGGTATTGTGTCCTACTCTCTCAATGAAAAGATATTCGTACTATAGAACTATTTTGTAGAATCTTATGAATTTCAGTTTTGATTTCTCAGCCTCAGTAATATGCAATACGCATGGCAAAAAAGCGTAATACCTAAAACTTTTGAA